TGCATGGTTATTTGGATGAAACTAATATGCTTACAAGCCGGAGGGACGAATGAGCTCCTTCCGCACCAATCTCACGAAGCTCACACATCAAATTGTTGTATCGCATTTTGGACTGCAGAAAGGCTGCGCTGACAAGGTAGAAGACCTTCTAAGAGTCACAAGTATATTTTTCCAACCGACGCCAAGGTCTGTTTAGTATTTGGTTATCTCTCTCTTCGTTTTGTCTGATTCTCATCTACTACCCAGGGTAGGGTCCTCGGGACCAACCATTTTGTGATGAGGCTACCATTGACACCATCCGATTGACATTCTTTGATGGCGAGGACTCGTTTGGCGCTCAGTGCCGTGATGATTTTGTTTCTGTCTTAGATGAAAACGACGAGCCCGAGCTACCTGTGGCTATGGTGTGTTTGATTGCAACTATGGTAGGCACCGGCCGTGATACTGTTTCAAACTCTGTATACTATACTGACTACATAACATTCTCCACAGATTTATGCAATATTGAAGGATTGGAGTAGCGGCAACCCGCCTTCAAGTGCACAAGTCAAATCGTTCAATGCCTCCTCCCACGTTGCGTTTACAAGGCTCACCAAGCGACTCTCACACGCATCTTTGATGGTAGTAGAAAGAAGTACCATGCGCTGATGGCACGACTTTACAAGGCAGTTAGGGTGTATCTTGCTTGCGCTATTTTTCATTGTTGGCCACTCTGACTAACTCAACACTAGTGCAATCGACAACTCAACGTCCACTGGCTCATCAAGCACTTGCGACTATCTTGATCTCAACGCAATGGTTGAAGAATAAATCAAGCTATGAATATGGCACCAAGTCAGTTACTTCTCTACATCTGATGCATCATTTGTACATACTGATACCCATGCTTAGTTCGAGTTCACTGATATTTTCTTTTCTTTTCACGTCTGTTGATGGTGATGTTTCGTTTAATTATGATTTAATCGATGTTCATGTATGTCGACTTCGACTGAATCCAAGATAATTTGATGGTATTCGGGGAAAATTTGAAAGAAATTCGAAGTAATTCGAAGTAACTGTGACTGAGCTTGAGAAATCAGGTCGTACTCGATTTCACTGAAATTACGCGGGATTCTCAAAAAAATTCTGAAATTACCTTGTTTTTGTGAAGGAGCTTTTCCCTGATGTTTACCATAACATAGCGAGAAGACATTGCCATGTTGCCAGACGGAAGTCAAATTAGAGACGAAGCTCTTGAGGTGTGAGGATCACCGCGGCCCCTTAGCATTGCATGTATACAAGGGAATGTCTACCCCAACATTGGTCATCGAACCTAAGGGCAGTGTGTCATGCATCACACCCCCCCTGCGAACCTTCGAACCTAAGGTTCATTTGGTCACACCCAGATAGGGTCGAACCTAGGTGTGTATCTCAACAGTAGTACGTACCTCCATAGCTGATTTCTCGAGGATATCCTATGGTGCCGATCACTTAGAGGCCGCTACTTTTGTGCAAAATTCTCACCTCCTTCAAAAAAAATCAGATTTTTATATCCTCTTGTAGAAATGATCCTTTTGATGAGTAGAGTAAAACTACTAGAAGAATTTTTAATTGGATCAAATTTGAGCGAGATATTTTGTACAAAAGCATCAATTTGGCCACATATAGAATTACGAGCGCCTGTCAGTCAAAAGTACATGCCAATGTCTTGGGAACGCGTCTATGTGACTTATACTTAGTAGAACTAAATTGCTTGACCTGAAATTGAGCATCTTTCGTCTGTCCGATATGCCTCCATCCACCAGTACATGTAGTGCTGCCGCAGTTCAGTCCCGAACCTAGGTTCGAACCTGAACTTTTGCGAATGGAACCACCGTTCGGTCAGTAGTTCGACATACGATACAGGACCGAACCTTACATAGGTTCTTCGTTCGGGTGGTCTCGGATGGACGTCGGACCCGTTCAGACGAGTCTGAACCGGTCTGAACCCATCATTAGAGTTGCAGGTTTGTTGCTTCTGTTCTGCGACTCCTCAGGTTCGTCGAAAGATGCTCACTGTTGACACCCAGTGAGAAACGGTCCTAGCTGTATCGACGGAAAACGACCGAAATATCGCGACAATATTTGCATCGATTTGCGGAGACGGATGAGACTTATATGATATTTTCAGCGACTCGCATCGAGCGAGATATTGCAGAATCAAGCGTGTTTGCGTAGCGTAGATTCTAGTATATTGTAGTAGCTCCCAATTGACCTTTTGCATATTCGCACATCAACCCAAATCGACCAAAAACAATTGTATTGCGAAAAAATTACAAATGCAATAAAAGTGTACTCTATATACCACTGGCAACCCCCACCCATGCGCCAGGATGACGTAGCCCACCAGCTTCTGGTACATGGGAGTCCTTAACTGAAACAAATCATTGTTAGATGTGCTTGCCAGGCAAGCAGACAGTACTTACAATGACAACTGCCTCGTTCTCGTGTTTCTACGGCAATAGATATCAGTTGAAGTATATTGGGTAGCTTTTAATGGAACTTACCAATCGATTGTCTTGTAACGGTGTATCTGTTGAAGCCGCTGGACGTGTCGATAATCGGGACAATGGTAGTGAGCTAGCGATGATGTAAAACAGTCAGTGAATGAACCTGACAATGTCAGATAACTCACAATGTTCGAAATGTGTGCATATATGCGCTGTAAATAGCACTTACTTGGATGACTACGGTCGAGTGGGTGGGATCAGCAGATGGATTAGGCCGTGAAAAGGTCTAGTACTTATCTTGTTAGTGCAGTGGCTATGCGAGAAAATCATGCATCAGATGGTACCAGGATGGTTGAGGTCAACAGCGAGATTTGCTGAGAGGAGGACGAGATGATGGAAGGGAAGAAGAAAGCTGAGGTGAACCGAGTATGGATGGAATGTCCCAATATATATCATAAGTGGTCCACTGCATATCGACGTCATCGCATGAAGTGATGGTGCGTGCGCAGCTGATGCGCAAGAATGTTCAAACATTCAAATATTGAGCAAAGTCAAGTCAAAGTTGAAAAAATTTCAGCATGTTCAACCAATGTTCAACGGATCTTTGCTCAATGGATCAACCGCACTTTTTAATTTATTGATTTGCGTAGTTATCGCAATATTATTGGTATATAACTAATATTTTCGTTGTTTGCCGTAGATATGGCTAGGACCGTTTTTCACTGGGGTTGATATATCAGTAAGTTTACCGGTGAAATTATCACCGGTGCAATCATCACTGGCGCAATCATCACCGGCACTATCATCACCGATGCAATTGATCAGAGTGGATATTCATATCTCATTCTGGTCTTACGCAGAACATCAGCAAAGGATAAAAGGGTGGGGTGCGTCCAAGGTTAGCTCATTCATCAAAACATGTTGAACTCTGCAGTTAATGCTAATGGTGTTTTGAAGGATGTGTCCGAAATCAAATGGTATCATGATCCTGACGATGACATGCCCATCTCGCCCCATCCTGAACACATTCTCATTTTGACGACACTCTTACTTTCATCATGCAGCCCTCGACCCTAACTACAAATTTGCCTACGCTAAGGCAAAATGGGCGTCTCAAGACTTTGCTGATGGAGTGAAACAGCTCGAAGATGTGGTAAGTCCATGGGTATCTCAATAAATTGTCTGCGCACTAACTTAGTATCTAGTTTGATCAGTATTATTGTGCCCCTCCTTCATCTGCTGCGACGACACATTCTGCTACACCATCCCTCTCACGCCAAGGTTCCTACGGCCAGAGCTGGGATGCGCGATGCAATCAAAGCTCGTGTCTCACATGACGCAGCTCGTCAAAGGCCTCGTCGGGAATTGGAGGACTACTTAGCTGCACCACTGGAGGATGTTGAGAATGTAGTCGCGTGGTGGGGTGTAAGCTCATATCCTTAATATTCCGTGTAACTTGAAGCTGACAATTATTTTTTTAAAGCATCACTTGGTTCAGTATCCCACTGTTGCTCGCATCGCTGTAGAGACTCGATCCTGGGTAGCCTCACAATGGCACATATTGCAACATAGGTCAAGTCTACAGTATCATGCATGTAACACGACACTTGCGCGATAAACGCGATGTTCGCGCGACGCGCGCGACATAGGTGACACTTCCGCGACATAGGCGACACTTCCGCGACTTGCGCGCGCTTTAGGCGAATTTTCCCGCGCCTAAGCGCTATAGGGCGCCTGACTTCCCACTGTGTTTTCCCATGTCCAACCAAGTTCCCAGGTATGCATTTCTCCATTTATCATTTATTTCAACATCGTACCATGTTTATTTTCACTTGGTACACATTTTTCATTACACATTTTTTTACTGGACACAACACACATTACCACAGACCACCACCATCATAGACAGTCACCATCTCCGAGTTTTTATTATGTTTTGAATAAATCATCGCAAGCCCTAGTAGCAGTTAGCTCTAGTGGCCATATCCGCATCAGTTGTCTTATCAGCATCTCAGTACACGTCTTAACATCTCACTATCGCTCGCATACCGCTTTCACCCAGTTCCGCTTTTCGACGCGCGACTTTCCCGCGCTTCGCGCGCCTATAGCGCCTTTGTTCCCGCGCTTTCGCCTTATCATGCGCTTTGCGCATTCCCCCTAGAGTTGACCAGTGGATATTTGCTTTCTCCGCTTCCCCTAAGGGATGAACATATCGCACTCATATTTTCCTCCCTTCAACAATTATATCAGCTGCACCCTCAGCTGAGTTGAAGATCCTTCATCGCAAAAGATTACCTCGCTATTCAGGGGTCTGCGGTAGCATCTGAACGGGCATTCTCAAGTGGCGGCATCACTGGCACCACACATTGCAACTGCTTGCTTCCAGAGACATTCGAGGCACTTCAACTGTTAAAAAGTGCGTACCATCAAGGCCATGTATCAGCAATGGTGCAGGCTGAGCTTCATCAGTAAATTCACACATTGCTTAACTTCCTTTTTTGTGACTTGCCGCCGGAGCCCCTTCAGTGACAAATCCCGTATTATACGGGTCACCCGACCTACATAATATCCCGTGTAATACGGGCCAGCGGATTATGGGCCGATGTTATGTATATTCCCGATGTTGACAGGTGGGCCAGGAGGCATATTATTTCCGATGGAGACGGGTGGGCCCATCTATGCTGATGTTATATATATCATCGACGATAGCGGATGGGCCGGGAGAAATATTATTATGGAGATGGGTGGGCCCATGTGGGTAATATGTAGAGTAGGATTGACATATATTATAGACCTGAGGAGAGATGTATAGCAAATAGTATTATATAGACGTGTGGGCCGACGTATTAGTATTATTTTGTAGACGGATGGGCTGAGGGAGCGGTGAAATATTTATTAGATAGACGGGTGGGCCGACGTGGGGTAATATCAGATAGACGGGTGGGCCGAGGGTGAGGGGAATTATTTATTACATAGACGGGTGGGCTGAGGGTGAGGTGAGTTATTTATTAGATAGACGGGTGGGCCGACGTGGGGTAATATCAGATAGATGGGTGGGCCGAGGGTGAGCGGAATTATTTATTACATAGACGGGTGGGCCGACGTGGGGTCATATTAGATAGACGGGTGGGCCGACGTGGGGAATTCTACATAGATGGGTGGGCCGACGTCGGGTAATAT